GTAAAATGTACCCTGTAATTTACTGGGTAGAGTTAGCTTTCTGAGGCAAAAAAAAATATCCTTTTGGGGGTATTTAACAATGAAACACTAATAAGAAGAGCACTACATATCTAAAAACTAAAGATAGGAAGAATGCTTTGGAGGGTTGCAGTGACCTGCAATGATAGTAAAAACAAATCATGTAGTTGTTCATGCGTATGTTCCCAGTTTTAAGTCCATAACCTTTAAAGCTTCAATAACAAGGTCCATTGCTTCAGGCTGCCCTTAAAGAATACTGAACAATAGAAGACAAAGATTCTCACCATTGGACCAATTGGCAGCATCAGAATGGATGGTGAAGAGATTGAGATTGTTCACAGCTTCAGTTTGCTTGGCTCCACAGTCAACATTCTTGGCACCAGTAGTCAGGAAATTAGAAGACGTACTGCATTGCAAAGTCTGCTGTTAGGGACCTCTCCAAAGTACTGAAGAGCAATGGTGTCTCTCTGGAGACTAAGGTGCGTCTGATACAGGCCATGGTCTTTGCAATCACTTGTTATGCATCAGAGAGTTGGACAATGACTAAGGATGATAGAAGGAGAATTGATGTCTTTGAGCTGTGATGCTGGAGAAGAGTATTGAGGGTTCCATGGACTGCTAGGAAAAGAAACATTAATCCTGGAAAGGGTCAAACTGTGCTGCTCCTTGGAGGCAAGGATTCTGAGGCTCCGTCTAACATAGTTTGGACATGGTGCAAGGAGGGACCAGTCCTTGGAGAGGGACATCATGCTTTGGAGGGTGGAGGGACAGCGCAAGAGGGGAAGGCTCCCTATGAGGTGGATTGATTCAGTGACTGGGGTAATCGAGATGGGTGTATTGGAGACGGTGTGATTGGCACAGGACAGAGCAGAGTTTAAGGCTGTTGTACATAGGGTCGCTATGAGTTGCAAGCAACTTGAAGGCACATAACATCAATAGTTCAGGCTTGCTGAGTTTTTTTCCAGATTCATTCTGAAAGACTGTTGATTCACACTTTAGTCCTCAAATATCAACTGTTAATGTTTACCTATAGTGGACAATGTTTGGTGGAGCTCCCTGATTAAAATAAGCTTGGAAGCAGGAGTGGCATCCACTGCCGAAATAGCTTGCCACCAGAAACACTATGAACGTGGAGAAACGATGAAAGTTACACAAGTGTTCAGGTAATTCGTTCATAGGGTCACTATGAGTTGACTCAATAGCACCTAACAACAACGTAGAGAGCTCTGATGATCTAGAGGATAGAAAGTGATGCTACCAAGCCAAAGGTGGGTGATTTTAATATGCGGCCCTCAGGCCTGGTTTTAATTGTTTTTGATCAAACATTCTTCTAAGTGGTATAGCACTGGTCTGCCCATTTGCTGTACAGAGGTAATTCATGTTTTCTGTGATGCTAAAGACTGTAACACGGATGTGTCAAATGAGATAATGGTTACTTATGGAGGGCAGTGTTTGGTGGAGCTCCCTGATTAAAACAAGCTTGGAAGCAGGAGTGGCATCCACTTCTGAAATAGCTTGCCTCTGGAAACCCTGTGAACCTGGAGAAGGGACGAAAGTTATACAAGTTTTCAGATCTTTTGTTCATAAGGTCGCTATGAGCCATCTATAACTCGAGTGGCACCTAACAACCACAACAAGGCTGTCTTCAGTTACAATTTGGGGAGTACTGACAAATGTACTTAAAATGCTGTCAGCATGGGAAAGCGTTCAGTGCTTTTCCGGGCGCTCCGACTCGGCTCCAAGCTGCCTTCGCCACCCACTCCCCTGTTACATATTTATATAAATTTATCTTTAAAAAATATGGAGACTCCAAAAAAAAAAGCGTACAATTCCAAATACTAATTTTGTGAAAAATGAAATTGTCCCTTAAGAAAATGGTCAGGTTAAAAAGTACATAGTTGGGGGGAAAAAAAGTACATAGTGAAGATTTACTATAGGAATAAAGCTATCTCAGTATTTTCCTTTGTGTTACAAAATAGCATTTTGAATTGTTTTTCCAAACACTTGTGATGGATATGTCAGTTTTAATAGGTCTCTTTTTTTTTTCAGTGTCATCTTTTTTTTTTTTTTAAATTTTTTTATTGGGAAAAACATATTGGGGGTACAAGGAGGTGAGGGTTGGGAGCAGAAGGGTGAGGATGGGCCAGGATGCAGTTGCAGAGCTGCACAGTTTGGTTGGTGGGGGGAGCAGGTGAAGGAAATGATGAGGGTCCAGTGGGGACCAGATGCTACAGAGGAATGACAAGCATTTTCCAATAGTAATTAAACCAACTGTCTTATTGATTTGGGAATTAGATGCTGACTCTCTGGTTTCTTCATGCTGAACAGGGGCATAGATATAAAGGGGGGAAGGGAGGATGCTTTATCACCTTACTGGTGGTCTTGTGTTACAGCTGCTTGTCTTCTTGCTCCTGAGGGCCACGACGGCTCACCCTGGGCAGAGGGCCAAGGGCAGCCCGCCCCGGGCAGAGGGCCACGACGGCTGAAGTAGTCTCTTTTTAAAAAAGAAGAAAAAGTGTGTGTGTGTGTGTGTACTGTCAAATTGGATCTGACTGGTACAGGAGACTGCCCCTCCTTCTCCAGCAGAGCATGAAGTAGAGTCTGGGTTCCCCCCCCCCAGGTGCCTATCGGGGCCTGGGTTTCAGCTGTCCACACCACAGCAGTGGGCAACGAGCTTAAAGCCCCTGATGGCTCTGGGCTCTGACTCTCACCAGTGGCTATGGAGTTCTCATTTTTTGTGCACTGTATACACTGCCAAACTTCTTCATGTACTGTCCAGTTGAAACTGGTGGGTTTTCAGTGATAGCTAATTTCAAAGGAAGAGATTGCCCACCTTTCACAGAGCAGCGGGAGGATTCAAACCATAAACCTTTGTATTGGCAGCACAGTTCTTAACTACTAAGGTCCCTATAAGTTCATTGGTTTACTTAATTTTCTCAACTGATCAACTGTGGTTGTTAGATGTCCTTGAGTCACTTGTGACTCATAGTGACCCTATCTACAATCTTGTGACAACCTTATTGTCTCTGACACACTCATTATGCCAGCCACTGAACCAATCAATCCATCTCACCGAGGGTTTTCCTCTCTTGTGCTGTCCCTCTATCCTTCCAAGCATGATGTCCCTCTCCAAGGACTGGTCCCTCCTTGCAACATGACCAAAAATATGTCTGACGAAATTTCAGAATCCTCACCTCCAAGGAGCAGCCTGGTTTCTTTACCCTCTCTAGAAAGAACTTTTGTTCTCCTGGCAGTCCATTCAATACTATTCTCCAACATCACAGCTCAAAGGCATCAGATAAATTAGATTTTGTTATTGCTGTTTCACTCAGGAGAAATGTAGGTTGAGATTAAAATGTTTTTGGGTTTTTTTCCCCTTTTTTGTTTGTTTGTTTGTTTGTTTGTTTTAAATCATAAGGGAGCGCTGGTGGTGTAATGGCAAAAAGCTGCACTGCAATCCCAGAGATAAGCGGTTCAAATACACCAGATGCTCTGCTGGAGGAGGGGAAATCTCCTCCTGTACTAGTCAGATCTGATTTGAGGGTAAACACAACACAGAAAAAATAATAAAAATTAAAAAATAATCATAGCGAAGAGTTGGAAACAACCCAAGTGCCCATCAACAAATGGATAGAGAAGCTCTGGTATATTTGCACAATGGAATACTATGCTGCATTGATAAACAGGAACTCACGAAATACTAAATGGGTGATCCTGGAGGACATTATGCGGAGTTAAATATCTGAGTCACAAAAGAACAAATACTGCATAGTGGCACTGTGGTAAAATGGGACTGACATTAGGGTTGGGGGTAGACCGAGAAAGATGGAATAAATTATGTATACTGCATTGAACCAGATGAGGGAAAGAATTGTTTAAAAGAGATATATGATTAGGTATTATTGTCATGACAGGAGTCCAGATGAGCAGAGAGAAAAGTGCAACCAATTAATGAATGGAAATCCAAACCCTGTAAATTTTCATTAAAATTAGTAATAATAAATCTCAGAACAGTGGCACAAGTAGGTTTTAAAGTCAGATTCCAATCCATTTTCTTTCCCACTGATTTATTTCCTATTTCTCTGGATCACTAGTTAGAAAATTTTAAAACACACTTCCATAACGTTCCCTCAACTGAAGGAGTTTATTTTTCAAATCATGCAAGGCTTGGGAGAGCTATTATTTTCTAATTAAGGCTTGTGTGATTTTGTTGACGCTTCTACTGCTCCCAAAGCTGGTGTAGGTGCGTCTTGTTTATGCCTTTAGAACGATGAACACTCGCCTGTCCGTATCTGCTGTAAAGATGCTCGAGCACAAGGCTCGTTTCTGAACCCTAGCCCTTTTTTCTTCTACCATACAAAGTGAACGCTCAGCGGATGTCAGTTACGTAAAGGACTCGTGAATGAATTCTGGTGGTTAACTCCGCACGTGATAGTCATAGTCATCGCTTCACCTTTCAGAGCGTTAAGTCTCCCTAAGATGATCAATCTCCTACTCTTGTACATTGAAGGACTTCACAAATTTGAGTGACTTTAAGTAAAACGTAAGAAAGCCTTATTTTTATCAGGCTGATTTTGGCAAGAATCTGCCCTAAATTTGAACTATAAGTTTACTTTGGTGATTCTAAGTCCACCCATCTGCAGGTCGCTCTACGAGACTTGGCGGCCTTTGAGCTGGCGACTGGTATCCACCTCGATACCTGGTGGGAGATGGCGATGAATCGGGATCCTCTGGAGGGTATCGAGTTTGGGTAGCTAAGTGCCTCTTCCACCAGGAACCGCGTGGTCCCTTCACACCCAGAGGAGGTGGAAGCCACACGCCCACTGAACCACCCACCGCTCAAGCTCCAGCCGCCGTGCACTTCCGCCGGAAATGTTTCACTACCGGAAGTGACGCGTGCCGGTGGGCAAAAGAGGCAGTGCATTCTCTCTTTTTCCACGCGGTTGACAGGTCTGCTCACTTTTCCGAGGTGGTGCTGAATGATGCCTGGAAAACTTCTTAGTGACACCGCTTTGGACGCTGACGCGACCATGGGAAGATCGGAGACATCGCGAAAAGCTAATGAGAAGGTGCATAGCGAGGGGCCGGGGTTGCTGGGGACAGTGGAGCCTTGGGGTACGGACGGGTGGCCGGGCTGGAAGCGCGTGGCGAGTGGCGGGGACTTGATGCTCCCGGAGTCGCAGCGTCGGTCTTCGTAAGAGGGCCCCCGATGTGAGGGGCTCGATCGACACCGCTGGCACGTTACCGGCCTGTTCTCTCCATCGCCGCCGCTCTTTGTCGCACTCGCGGGTCCCCCAGCCCCGGCAGCTAGGCCTGGGCGGGTCGGAGCTGGAAGGCGGACCGCGTGCGGGTCCCACGTGTTTCCCGGAACCTGGACTCGTGCTCCTGGTGCACAGAGTTGGAGGTTCCCAGTTTGCCTCCCTCGTTGTTGACTCGGACCTGATTCCGGGTTTGAGTGTACCGGGAGGGGAATGCAGATTACGGAAGTAAGATTTGATGCACCAGAACCCACTGACTGGCGTCTTCGGTTTAATAGCGACCCTTTGAGACAGAATTCAACGCCACCCATGTGAGCCTGTACAGCTGATGGAATCAGACTAGAGCATCTCTCTGGATCGCCTTTAGGTTGACATCTGCAGGCCTTAACTACGGCGCCACGGTGTAGGTCGCACACGAGGGGTCTTTGAAGGACTGGCAAATGCTGGCGACACCCGCAGTGACGTTCTTTTTGGCCTAGTAACGGAAGTGTAGCTTGTTTTCTGAGAAACACCCCGTTGAAACAAAATAAGCTTTTCGTACTGTTTATTTAAACACCAGCACTGTACAGTAGTTTTCAGTAAACTTAATAGCAGTCTGCTTTTTTTGTATGTGTTGACCAATGGCCTTTGCCCAGACGTCTCTGGGTCTTCTTGATGCTGAACACTTACCATTGCAGCATTTTGATACTATAAGAAATATGGGAAAAGCAAATTCCTGCCTACAGGTAGGAGGGTAGCGGTGCCATTATTATGCCTCACTCTGTAATCAGTTGTTCAAATTAAGAGGGCTGTGACCAGACTCCTTCCAGAAGAGAGACTCAGTGAATTCTGCAGAGACCAGACCCTTCTTCCCAGACTGAGAGATTGTCATGTGTAAGAGAGCTATCCTTAAATCTGAGTTTCTAGAGCAGGGGCCAAGCCTAGAACTCACATCTGCAGTTACCAGGAAAAAGATGGGCTTTGTGGCCAGACAGAAGCTTTAACACCTGCCAAATGTAACTTAATAAAATGTCAGTAATGTGAAAAGGAGTGTGAGCCTGGAATCAAGTCTGAGTCAACAACGAGGGGGTCAACTTTGAACCTCCATACCTGTGCACTATAAGCAGGAAGTTCTGGGGACCAGGTGGAACCTGCAGGTCACCTTCCAGCTCCAATCTGCCCAGGCCTAACTGCCCTGGCTTGGGGACTGGCATGTGATCAGAGTGCAGTGGTGATGGCAGGTGGGTAACATGCCATCCATGTTGGTGTAATTTCTGATAAGTAACTGCTGATATAGAGGTAGCAGTTCTTATCCACCAGCCATTCCATGGAAGAAAGGTGAGCAGTATTCTCTGCAGACTGGAGTGGTGTAGAGAGAACAGGAAAGGTTGATTAGGCTCGAATTTCAATTAGGAACCTTAGTCATCAGTCTAGTTTGATTGTAGACTTACTTTGTTTACATGCATCATTTTTATTTGTGGATTGTGGGAGGGTTTTTTATAGTGTCTTTATTCTTCAGTTATCTTTATGTAAATTTATTAGAGCTCTAAATAGACAAGATAAACATTGTCAATCTGTTTTACCCATGGAGGAATTCTGGCATATAGAAATATGCATAATATCTTTCATCTGTGGACATATTACAACTCTCTTATTCTGTAGGTTTTATATTTGAACTAGATCATTTTCTAGAATAGTATTTTATTTAGAGCTTGTTGCATTTCAAATTTCTTTTCTTTTTTTTAAATTTTTTTTTTTTTTAATATTTTTGTGTGAGTGTACCGTCAAATCAGATCTGACTCGTACAGGAGATTGTCCCTCCTTCCCCGGCAGAGCATCTGGTGGATTTGAACTGTGCACCTCTGGGATTGTAGTTGCAGCTCCTTACCACTAGGCCACCAGCATTTCAAATTTCTTAAGGACATTTGGTTTATAGATAGCTTATTAGACAAAGATGGGTTGAGCATTTACTAAGAAATATTACTGATTTTAAAAATCGTTGGTAAACAATCTTCATAAAACGAAAAAAATGGCACTAGAATCATACTGCATTTTAGCAATAATAAAAATGTGTGTGATTTTTGCCTTATGTTAAAATGTAATAAAAACCCCACAAAACTATGATTTTTGTAATTAGGAATAATCTAGAATTGAGATATAAAATAAATCAGCTTTGTTTATTTATCTTCTAGAAAGCTAAAAAAGAGAAGCCAGAATCTACCAAGACAGAAGAATCAGTAGAAGAAAAAGAAGACACTGTTTCCCCCAAAGCTAAAAAGATGAAAAAGAAAGCTGAGCCTTCTGAAGTGGAAATTATTTCCCCTAAATCTAAAAAGGTGAAAAAGAAAGAAGAGCAGTCTCAAGATGGCATTATTTCACCCAAAACCAAAAGTGTGAAAAAGAAAAAGGAACCTGCTGAAGATCAAGTTGCTTCTCCTAAAATAAAAAAAGCAGTAAAAAATGAAGAACCTTCAGAAGAAGAAATGGATGCTCCTAAACCTAAGAAAATAAAGAAAGAAAAGGAAATGAATGGAGAGATTAAAGAAAAAAAACCTAAAGTGATGAATGGACTCCCTAATTCTGAACCTTCTTCTAACGCCAATGAAGCCACAAGTGAAGACAGTAACAATGAACTAGAACAGGTACAGTTGTAATAAATAGAGCTCATTATTATTTGATATAAATGAGTAATTTGCTGTGTTAGCATTTAGTAAGAGTTTCTTGAGCTGCAAGATGAGACTTCATCTTATTTTTAAAAACTGTAGTATCAGAAAGAATGCTTCTTTCGTAAAGAAACAGATTTGTTTAATCTTTGGAAAAGTCTTTTCTTCATATTTAGCTAATTAGCAGGTCAGTGGATCACCAGGAGAAATACAGTTTTGCAGATGAGACCTGGCCACCCTCAGGTTCATTATGTTAGAATTAAGTAGAACCCCTGAAGAGGTGATTCCAGGGTGCCAGATTTCTCAAGTAAATTTCTGTTTTAACTTGGAACTTAATGCTATTACCTGTCAAATTTCAATCATCAAAGGAAACCTTAACAAGCAGTTTTCTGTTCTGGGAAGTGATTATATATTTACCAGAGAACAGAAATTGAACAACTTAATTTTTTCCAAGTGTAATATATGATTTAGTCAGTTTGAAAATTTTCTAAATTCTCCCCTAAAGCTTTCTGTCTCTTCAGGAAAGCTTTCCACATTCATTAGTAAATATTAAGCACTTTCAAGGTACGGAGATATCTTGTCTTAAATATGTTTTATACATATAACTGAGAGGCTCTGGTGGCACATTGCTTTTGCAAACAACTAGTAACTCTAAGGTTGCTATTATGAATCTACCAGCTGCTCTGTGGAAAGATGAGACCGTTGCTTCTGTACAACTTTAAAGCCACGATAACCCTGTATGATGGTTCTACTCTGTCCTATAGGAAGCTCTTGTGGCTTAGTGGTAAGGTACCAACACAGAGGTACATGGAAAATCAGCTAGCTGCTCTGTGGGAGAAAGATGGGCAGTCTCCTTTAGCATTTACTGCCTCTGAAAAATCTACTGGGGGGTCAGTTATGGGTCAATGCTAACATCATTACGTATCAACTTGGGGCCAAGTTTTGAGGACCCTTTTCATTAGAATCCTGGTGTTTGCAGTTTTTAAGGTTTGTAATGGCTATATAGTCCATCCAGTGAATGTTTTAGAAATTTACTTAATTAGTTCATTATTGGGCATTCCTGTTTTTCACTGTCAAATAATGCCCCAATGACTTTTATTCATAAATGTTTGTTTTTATTTTCTCTAGATATCTATGAAAGATAATTTTCCTTTTTAGACCTTGATTTGCCTACTAGAAATTTTTTATATGTTTTTGTTCAGTTTTAAATAATGTTTAGAATGCATGTTTTAGAATTGATCTCTTAGAAGGCAGGCTTCTTTATTAATTTTCATAGTCAAAGTGATTAGTTTCTTATTACTAATACTGTGGCCCTTTACTTGGTAGGAAATACCAGTGGAACAAAAAGAGGGAGCTTTCTCCAATTTCCCTATCTCTGAAGTGACTATTAAACTTCTCAAAGGTAATATTTTTGGAAATGCAGTATTAATAAAAATTATTGGTATTTTTAAGAACTCCACTTAATATAGTGAACTATACAATGAAGTAGACCACATGTTCAATATAGGACCATAGCATTGATGGATATATTATTCAAAGAAATGCTGTGCATATATTTAATGCATTATATTAAAAAGTGTAGTGACTAAAGATGCTGGTGAAGTGAAGCAGTTGATTGATACCATATAAGTGTTTTCTTTTTTGTCCCTTCTACTTAAATAAAGTATTTCTATGCTAATGATAACCTACAGAACCTAACCTTTGTAGACTGCTTGACTATATTTATTTTCTAAATTGTCAGGTTTAGCAGTTTGAACTGCAAAGAACTTAATTTTCATACCAACATTGATAAGATTTTGTAACAAATGACTTAATCTCTTAAAATAGCAGTTATTTACTGTCATTTGGTGCATTAGAGTTTGACATGTTAGTGAAGGACACTCTTTACCTTCGCAGTATATTTGAACTCACAACGTGGACTTCATTCATTGAAATTAATAATTTAAAAAAAAGTAAAGATCATTAATTCTGCCTGTTAGATCAGAAACATGTATAGCTGGTGTTTTCAGAATTACAATATCAGATAACAAGGTTAATTTTTTCACAGCCCGAGGGGTGAACTATCTGTTTCCTATACAAGCGAAGACGTTTCATCATGTCTATAGTGGGAAAGACTTAATAGCGCAGGCCCGGACTGGAACTGGGAAGACATTCTCCTTCGCCATCCCCTTGATTGAGAAACTACAGGGAGATCTGCAGGACAGAAAACGAGGCCGACCCCCACAGGTAACTACGTAGGGAAGTGCAGACTGCAAGGACTTCAGATTAGTATAAGGGAAAAGCATCTCTTAGTCTTGGTTTGCATACCCCTTCTTTTATATTTTTAATCTCTTTAAAGCTAGCTATATTCTCCTATTACAGGTTTTGGGTTGGTTTTTTTTGTTTTGTTTTGTTTTTTTTTTAAAAAAAAAAACCTCTATTGGCCATAAATCCTGCTGCCCCTTGGTTGTGATCACTTGTTTTTTTCTCCTCATGGTCCCTTCAAACATATGTCCCTAGGGTTCACGATTTGGTCATTATTACATTTATAGAGGGAGTAGCTATGTGTGCCTTTTGTTTTTGACATTTTAGAGGAAGCATTTTTAATGGAGAAACATGGCTAGAGATGAGGGTACTCAATTAGAAGAGGCCAGTCCTCTTACCAGGCTAGTGCATGTTGGGCTTACTTGCATATACCGTGCCATTTGACAGACTTTAAACCTCACTGAATACCTGTAGTGGAGTGAATGTAGGCCTTGACATCAGTCTCTATTTTATTCTAGACGCCATTCATGTTACTTTAGTAACTTATTTACAGTTTTCCCCACCTCAGCTGTGAGCTTTCACACCTGTCTTTCTGGCCTGACCTTCCAGTTCCCACATTCCTTTATTAATGCAATTGTTTACTCTCATGATCCTAGAACAGTGTCTAGGTTATAGTAGATGCTTGATAAACATTTGTTGGACTACTGCATTAAATTGTTTTTAAAGCAAGTTTGTTTCATACAGTTCCCTAGTCAAGGATCTGTAGTGGTTTCTTGTATGCCCTACTGCATTAAACTCTACTTTACGATTGTAAGCCCCCTCATTGTTTGCCCTACCTTATGTGCTGCCCACTTGGAGGCACTGGAGCCTGCCTGACTCAGAATCCAGATTCTGCCTCTTATGGATTTAATAAGTTTTGTCCTCTAGCACCTACCTTAGAAGGTGTGCATTAAAAAGAATTCAGTAGAGCAAGAAACGTTGTAAGAGCTGTTGTCAGTATTACTTCATGTTCATGTGTTTCTTGGCTATCCTTTTAAAAAGCATTACCAGCTTGCAGAGACTTTGCTCTCTTCCTTCTTGCTCCAGCCAGCCTCTATAGTACCATATCAGGCATCTAATTATTCTTTTTTCTCTTGTGATTTGAGTGGAAATTTACAAAGCAAATTGGTTTTCCATTCAACCATTCATGCACATTTTGTTTCATGACATTAATTGTAACACACACAAATAACTACTCCCTTTGCACGGACTGGAACTTCCCTGTGAGTCTCATTTCCCTTAGTCCTTCTGTTTTACCACTTCTGCCTTCTGAATTTAATCCCTGGGTAAATGCTGCCCTTTTGATCTTAGCAGGTTGGTTATCAAAAAGAATTAATGATTCTGGTGTTAAGAGTTTACCTTAGTGGCTGAACGTTAAAGCCCTGGAAGTGAGTTTTACTCAGGTTCAAAGCCTAACTAAGGGCATTGTCTCAGGCTTCTAACAATCTGTCAGACCAGTAAGCTTGGCCGATTTTATGTTTTTTAGTTCTAATTTCTCTTCTGATTGGTAAGACTACAAACAAAATTTTCCTCTGAGTAGATTTGCTAGGAACCATATTAAATATATGATTAGTTCCAAACATATATTACAAAGCAAGTAATAGTTGTTTTGTTACATAATTTAGTGGAAGCTTTGCTTGATTTCAAATTCTGTTAAGCAAATACTGCACATTGATTTGGATTCAGTTATTAGTTTTTCTTTTTCAGGTACTGGTTCTTGCACCTACAAGGGAGTTGGCAAATCAAGTAAGCAAAGACTTCAGCGACATCACAAAAAAACTGTCAGTGGCTTGTTTTTATGGTGGAACACCCTATGGAGGTCAATGTAAGTAAATCCACAAGTGAAGGAAGGAAAATTCCATTAGTTTGGGGGGTGGGTGTCCATTTGTTTTGTTGCAGATCCCAATTGAATTTCTTCCAACCCTGACATCTATTTAGTAATGTATAGCATTGTTCTTTTCCCATTATTATTTAAAGATGGTTGATGATGTGTCAAATCCTGTGTAATCTTTATGTCTTTTTTATTATTTGTGTACCTAATAAGCACTGAGAACTGGTAAGTCTGTCCACTTTATCTGTCTAAGACCTTGAACCTGTGCCACTTTTCCCCACCTTTCATTCTTTTTTTGCTGTAGTCAAGTATTCTTGTGACTAATCCTACAGGCCAAATATGGCAGTCCCTGCTCCCATAATCCATCACTTTTCAGCTCAATATATAGGCATAGGCACATGAAACTTGTGATTATTTTGTAACTCTGAGGAAATAGATTTTGGCATTTGGAAAACTGGCTTCTGAATCTGATAAATACAAAGTAGCTTTGTGATTCTAAGTACTAGTTTAATTTTTCTAAGATTCAGTTTTTCACTTGTAAAGCAGTTAATGAAACTACATGGCAGGTGAATTCTGATATTTGAATCTAAGTAGTATCTCAAGAGTTTAGTGGAAATTCAGTTAATAAATTATTATCATTATCTTTATTCCAGTTATGTTGGATTCTTATTTTCCTAAATGCTAAGTTCATTCACAACTCTACCTTCCTGGGGAGTTGCTAAGTGATACAGATTGCTAATGTATTTGGCTACTAAACCGTGGTTAGAGGTTTGCCACTCAGAGGCATCTCAGACAAAAGGCATGGCAAGTTCTTTCATCCTGTCTCCTTGTGTCTCTATCTCCTCACTTTAGAAAATTTCTAAGAAGGTGCATCCTCTCACTTTGTGACACTTCTGACCAACCAAGGAAGTAATTTCTTTCCTTGTACTCTGTACCTCACTGGTGATTTTTCTATTGTGACATTTAATAAACTGCCCTGTCATTTCTGACATGCTTCCCCTACTAGATTAGGAGCTCCTTTTACATATCTTTATTTTCAATGCTTAGCATTTGACCTTGTACTTCTACGCGTTTAATAATGTCTGTGGCACAAAAGTGATGAATTGGTATCCCAGATCAATGAAAAGGGCTTTTTTAAAACCCAGAAACTCTTTATTATTGGTATTTTTTATAGTGGATCGCATGAGGAATGGCATTGACATCCTGGTTGGGACACCAGGGCGTATCAAAGATCACGTACAGAATGGCAAGCTAGACCTCACCAAACTTAAGCATGTTGTCCTGGATGAAGTTGACCAGATGTTGGATATGGGTTTTGCTGATCAAGTGGAGGAGATTTTATGTGTGGCATACAAGAAAGGTAAACAGCCAATTCAAGGAACTGATAAAAGGACCCCAAGCAAGGGTGGTATTCTTACAATAAAATGAAGCCTGAGGAAATGGAAAGGGAATTTTTAAAAAAGCTTAACTGCTATATTTAAAGGAAAAAGAAAATTTTCTATTTTACCAAGTTGATATAATTTGCTTTTTGGTATATTTCTTTGCAGTTGTGTGTGTTATAATCTTAACTATACATACAAAGATTCTGCAGAATAGTCCATGAAATGACTGTGCCAGAGTTTACTTCAGCCGTATCCCTACGTCCTTCCAGTTGTTTAGTTTGTTACACTGTTTATAGACATTTTTACTATAGATAACTTTTCTTACACCTTCATTGAAGGTTTTTTTAAGAGATTTTTCAGAAGTGAAATTACTAAATTAAAAGGTATTAATGAATTAGTTAAAAAGTAATTTAATTTAAAATTAAATCTAGTACCATAGTGTACGGTGCCAGATTGTTCCCCAAAAATGATTATACCTGTTTACAGTGTTGACTGTGTGTACAGATGCATACAGTGAGTGGCACTCCAGCAGGCAAAAAACATGGAAGGTAGCCCTTGGGAGCTGAGCTCAGAGAATGAACACAGTGAAATTCTACACTCAGAAAATACAGAGGAAATGTTAGGGAGTGTAGAATCCGTGCTGGCATTTGGGATAAGCTCTTTGCCAGCAGATAGATGTCGTGGCTTTGCTGGTCTTGATGAATTGGTGTTTTCCAGGTGGTGGGATTCGTGATGTTTGACAGATTTCCCTTGTGCTTCATAAATGCTAGTGGTCAGAAAACAAAGACAAATTTCAGGATTGTAGAGATCCTTTACCTATATTTTAGCAGTGTTTCTTCTGCTCATCCAGTGGGAAAACGTGCCCTTTTGAGGCCTCAGTGCCTGGCACAGACCTTGCTCCCAGGTTGTTACTTTTGGGTGGTGGATCCTACTGGTCCTGAGTGAGGATAGAGTGCTGGCTGGGCTTATTTGGGTTATTCATACTGACTTTCTTTTTCCCCCACAAAGATTCAGAAGACAATCCTCAAACATTGCTTTTTTCTGCAACTTGCCCACATTGGGTATTTAATGTTGCTAAGAAATATATGAAACCTACGTATGAGCAGGTGGACCTGATTGGTAAAAAGACTCAGAAAGCGGCAATAACTGTGGAGGTAAATGATTCATTTATCTGCCAGAATGAGTAGTAAGTAGTTGATCATATTTACATGACTGATTGTTCAAAAACTGTAAAATAAAAACTTTTGTCCAGGTAAATGCAAAATCCATCTAAAAAGCCAAGAAGAGAGAATAGATCTTTGAATTGTATTTTGTTATTTGTGCTTTTTGAATTCTCCAGGTAGCTTCGTTACATTCTTTTGGGAAACTAAATCTCTGAATTTAGAGAAATTAAAGAAGGGAGTTATACTTCACATTTAAACATTGGAGGGCAACAGAGACATCTGGTGCTTAGTCTTGAAGTTGCTTTCATTTCTGCTGAGGAGTGTGCTCAGCTGTAATCCCCCCCCCCCCCATTGTGACAGGACTCTATTAGAATTGGGCTTCAAGTACCAAGTTAGATCATTAGTACTGACCAAGTGATGGTAGGTTTCAGCAGGGCATTAATAAATCCTTTTATCCTTGCTCTTACAAGCATCTGGCTATCAAGTGCCACTGGACTCATAGGGCAGCGGTCATTGGAGATGTGATCCGAGTGTACAGTGGTTATCATGGGCGCACGATTGTCTTCTGTGAAACCAAGAAAGAAGCCCAGGAGTTGTCTCAGAATACATCCATCAAGCAGGTTTGTCCTCCTATTGCACAGAAAACTAGTATTTCAACAAATCTCAACTTGGGCATATCCTTTTTGGATATTTTTTTCTTTTTCTAAATAGTGACTTCAGTTTATTTTAGGTTCAAACAGGAAACTCTTTTACTTAACGGTCAGAATGTACATGTTAGCACTTATCAAACCTAGCTGTCTCATTCCCAGATGGATGTGGGGAAGGAGGCTTCACCTTTCAATTACAAAGTTAAGTCAGGTTTGAGGCCTTGTCCATGTTCTGCATCAGTGTGTGTAGTTTAATGCTGCTAATAGTTTGACTGTTGAATTGGAACCAACTCTTATCTGATCCTCAGAGGAGGACAATGCCCATCTTGCTCCTGAGTTGTAGCTGATGGATTTGAACTACCACCTGTGGGTTGGCATCATAACTTCTTACTCACAAGGCCACCAGAGAAAGTGAGAATTTAGAAATAAGTTTGAGGCTTGTTCATTTTAAGCAAACATTTCTCTTATAAAATTTTAGCAAGCATATCATCAGATTGCTAATGTCTTTTACAGGCCTGATTATGTGTTACTTGCATTCTTGAAATGGATATTCTTATGCTCATTTATTATGTCTTTGGCAGGATGCCCAGTCATTACATGGAGACATTCCACAGAAGCAAAGGGAAATCACCCTGAAAGGTTTTAGAAATGGTAATTTTGGTGTTTTGGTGGCAACCAATGTTGCTGCACGTGGATTAGATATCCCTGAGGTTGATCTGGTCATACAGAGCTCCCCACCAAAGGTATGTGTTGTTTTTCTAGGTATTTTTTTTAATACTCTTTAATTTCTTCTGAGTACTGAAGCCAGTGAGAAATTGTCATTTACTTTCATGTAATTAGTAAAAGTTTGTTGAATAGTAATGTTACGAATGATTTTAAGCATGAACTGATTCCCCCCCTCATTTATATAAAAAGACAAATGTATGGAGATGAAAGTTTATTAGTGGTTATTAGGGATGAGGCAAGAAAAAGGAAAGACTTTCCAGTGAAAGACTGTTAATTGGAATGGAGTATATGATACATATGCCTATACCAATGATTGTTGTAGTGTACCGTTGAGTCGAAACTGACCCATAGCTGAACTCATGCGGGTTTTCAGAGACAGTTAATTGAAAGAGAGGAGATTGTCCATCCTTCTCCCATGGAGCAGCTATTGGATTCCAAACACATGCCTTCAGGGTTGCAATGCAGCTTCTTACCATGAGGCTGCCAGAGCTCCATATAAAAATAATGAGGGGAAGTAAAAATTAATGGCTGAGACAATTTAGAGTCACATGAACACCTTGTGGGTTTGTTTCTTTGGTGTGGAGTTTTAGGGTCATTTCGTTTTCATGGGCCATTTGGCCTAATAATGTGTGTAGTGTTTTCATGGGCCATTTGGTCTAATAATGTGTGTAGTGCTCCTGTTGTGCTTTCTAACATGTGATCAAGATGCATTGATAATAATGGGTGACTGGAATGCAAAAGTCAGGAACAAAGAAGAAGATTCAGTAGTTGGAAAACATGGACTCGGTGACAGAAATGGAGCTGGAGAGAGAATGATCGAATTTTGCACAATCAATGACTTATAGCAAATACATATTTTTTTTTCACAGTTGGGTACTGATTTATTGGGTAGCTTGCAAATACATTTTTTATGAGACAAACGCAGGTTATATACCTGGATTTCACCTGATGGTATGCATAGGAATCAGATCGATTGCATCTGTGGAAAGAACCGCTGGAGAAGTTCAATATCAGCTGTGAAAACTAGGCAAGGGGCTGATTGTGGAACAGACCACCAACTACTCATATGCAAATTCAAGCTGAAGCTGAGGAAAATTAAACCAAATCCAAGGCAACCAAAGTAAGACTTTGAGTCTATCCCACCTGAATTTCAGAACCATCTCAGGAACAGGTTTGAGGCTTTGAACACTAGTGAGCGAAGGCCAGATGAGTTGTGGGAGGATATCAAGGGTATCATTCAGGAAGAGTGCAAACGGTCATTGCAAAGACAGAAGAGGAAGAAAAGACCAAAATGGATGTCAAAAGATACTCTGAAAATTGCACTGGAGCGCAGAGAAGCCAAAGCACAGGGAAGAATTCAAGATACTAAAGAGTTGAATAGAAGATTTCAAAAGGCAGCACGGGATGACAAAGCAAAATATTACAATGAAATGTGCAAGGAGTTGGAGTCAGAAAATCAAAAGGGCCGAACTCGCCCAGCATATCTTAAGCTCAAGGAACTGAAGAACAAATTCAAACCTCGAGTTGCTATAATCAAGGATGCTTTCGGCAGAATGTTAAATTATCTAGGAAGTATTAAAAGAAGATGGAAGGAATATACTGAGTCACTGTATCGAAAGGAATTGGAAGACACAGAAGAATTTCATGAAACAACATATGAGCAAGAGCCTATGGTGGTGAAAGAAGTAGTTCAGGCTGCTTTGAAGGAAATGGCAAAAAATAAGGCTCCAGGAATAGATGGTATACCAATTGACATATTTCAGTTAACAGATGCTTCCCTGGACGTGTTCACTAAGTTGTGTCAAGAACAACAGTAAAAGGGCCTGCTTTGAGCTGTATGCTTTTTTAATAGCCTCTGAAGTAGTATGATAGGAACTTGTCAGAGATCACATATACAGAATCAGTTGTTGTTGTTGTCATGTGCCTTCGAGTCACTTGCGACTCATAACGACCCGACGTACAACAGCCCTAAACTCTGCTCTGTCCTGAGCCAATCGCGCTGTCTCCAACACACCCATCCCGATTGCCCCAGTCACTGAAGCAATCCACCTCATAGAGGGCCTTCCCCTCCAGCGCTGTCCCTCCACCCTACCAAGCATGATGTCCCTCTCCAAGGACCTGTCCCTCCTTGCAAAATGTCCAAAGTATGTTAGACGGAGCCTCAGAATCCTTGCCTCCAGGGAACCGCCCGGTTTAACCCTTTCCAGGATGAATCTGTTTGTTTTCCTAGCAGTCCATTGTATTCTCAATACTCTTCTCCAGCACCACAGCTCAAAGGCATCAATTCTCCTTCTATCCTCCTTAGTCACTGTCCAACTCTCTGATGCGTAACAAGTGATAGCAAAAACTATGGCCTATATCAGACGCACTTTAGTCTCTAGAGAGACACCATTGTTCTTCAGTACTTTCGTGAGGTCCCTAACAGCAGACTTTTGGATAAAAAGGATGTGAGACATCGTATTGAAAATGTGTTTAGCATTGATAAGGTGAACACTCATAGTAATACTAACGCTCTTTTCGACAGTGCTTTTTTTTTTATTATTATTTTTTGTGCATGTACCGTCAAATCAGATCTGACTGGTACAGGAGGAAATTGTCCCTCCTTCTCCAGCAGAGCATCTGGTGGATTTGAACCGTTTACCTCTGGGATTGCAGTACAGCTTCTTGCCACTAGGCCACCAGAGCTCCCCTGACAGTGCTGTTTTTAATACACTTTATTACAGATTTGTCCATGGGACAGGAAATAATTGTTCTAGTTTGTGTCATAGTTGAATTTAAACTGATCTATTCCATCCCCAAGTACATAACTAACATGTTAGCAGAATCAATTACTCATGTTCTTTGTTCATTATAGGATGTGGAGTCCTACATTCATCGCTCCGGGAGAACGGGCAGAGCTGGCAGGACAGGAGTTTGCATCTGCTTTTATCAGTACAAGGAGGAATATCAGTTGGCACAAGTGGAGCAGAAAGCGGTAAAACTAACTTAAGCTTTCATTCAATAGATGGTGCTTTCTAAACCTTAACTTTCAATTTCTTTATTCCATTTCTGTTAATCTTATTTTCTTCCTAGTATGTGGAATAGAGCTTGCTAGGTCCATGTTATTGCATATGTTGCCTCATAATGTCAGAGGGGCTCTGGTAGTGTAGTCTGTAGGGAGTTGTATTGCTTACTCAAAGGCAGTGTCTCTGGTGGTTCAAATCCGCCAGTGGGCTCCACAGGAGAAAGATAAGAAGCTTCCTCTCATGGGATTTACAGCCTCAAAAGCTCATGTTACCTTATAATACATAGCTTCACATTTGAAAGAAGTGCTTTGTTTTTCATTCTTCATAGCACTCAAGACGATGATCATGAGACCATACCAAATGTTTAAATCGAAGTTATGGGTTCCCAGAATTGCTAAAAATCCAGAAAGATGGAAAGTATCCTGGGGACACATGAAACCCAGAAAACAATGGTCATTGATAGAACAATTTGAGCAACAAAATTAGTAACATTCAGAATCACGCTAAACTTGACTCTTAGCACAGACAGAGTAGAAGCACTCTCTTAAGTTTTCCAAGGCTGTAATTTTTACAGATGCTGACTAACACATCTTTGCTGTGGAGCATGTTGGGTTCAAATGGCTGACCTTTTGGTTAATAAGCTAACATTTAGCCACTGCACAACAAAAAGTAATCTGGCTCATAGATTCCTAGCGACTCTCCCATCAGGTTTCTGAGACTGTGTGTCTTAATGGGGGCAAGTTGTCTCATCCTTTTCCCTCAGAATGCCTGGATTCAAACTGCCAACCTTTCGATTAGCAGCAGTTCTTCCCCGTTTAGATGGCGCTCCTGCCCTTCCCTCTCCATAGAATGGGCTGTGTGCTTAGTTGTTTATGAAGAATAGCATGTAGAAACTAGTTGGGCCAGAAGATTGAACTTAACTTTATCAATGAAAAGAACATCTACATTTGAAGAACCTGTTAACCTCAAAACTTATAACTAATATCACATTTTCCAGTGAGCAAGTAAGCACAGACTTCCTTGTGCTTGCTTATTAACCTATGTTGATTGAACTAGTTCACATTTTCACTACATAGAAGAGTCTGTATCTCTAGATAGAACTGGCATCTGTGGGAGTTTCAGTGTTAGCCCCAGAGTACTTTCTTTCTTTTTTTTTTTTTTTTTTTAATTATTTTTGTGTGCGTGTACCATCAAATCAGATCTGACTGGTACAGGAGGAGATTGTCCCTCTTTCCCCGGCAGAGCATCTGGTGGACCAGAGTACTTTCTTACAGAAACTCAAAACCCTTTATAGGGACAAGCTAAGCATGGATTGACTTGTGCTTACTTGGCCATTTGTGTGAACAGTTTGATGGTTTTTACTGAAAGCCTGCATTTATCTTGTTTATTGGACACTCTAGCCCCTACCCATTAAACTAGTCTAAGCCATGATCAAAACTGCATACCACCTCATACTGATAGTTGAGTTGAGCATGACTCATAGCGACCCTATGAACAATAGCTTGAAGCCTTTCTATAACTATAATTTCTCAGATTTCATAGTTTCCAGAGGTATGTTGTTTAGGAATTGGATGCCAAAACCAGACTATAATTTTTTTTTTTTTAATTGTGAAGGCTATGACAAACTGTCATATAACTCAGAGGAACCTAAGGTGCCATGAAATAAATGTACTGTGGTATGCTGACTAGGGAGTTCTAGTGGCTTTATGGTAAAGAATTTTGCTGCTAACCCAAAGTAACACAGTTACTCCATGGGATAAAGATGGACAGTCTTCTCCCACATGATTTACTGCCTCTGAAAACCTGTTGGAGGATACCAACTCAAAGGTACACAACAGCATAACAGGGATCATAGTAACGGAACATGTTAACAGTAGAAGAGACTGGGTCAGAACTCTGCTCTCTGTAATTGTTTCATAGATATAAAACTATTCTAAAATGAAAAGACAAATAAACTCATGTATATTAATCTCTATGGAAGCATTGCATAGTCACCATACATGGTAAATTGTGGTTTGTTTTGTTTTTAATAGGGAATTAAATTTAAACGGATAGGAGTACCTTCTGCAACAGAGATCATAAAAGCTTCCAGCAAAGATGCCATCAGGTTTGTTGCTGTCACTACTGTGTTTGGCCTTTGTGCGGTAATGAAATCTGAGCCCATTATATTTTGTTTTTCATAATTATAACTTATTTTATTTAGAAACAGTTACGTTTTGCTAGAGTTTAATAAAGTGAAGACCTTCATCGTTTCTGTTGATGCTCTTTGCCACAAGCAGCCACAGTTCCTCTTTTGGTCTGGTCTGTCTTGTACTTACTAAGGAAGAATATCTTTCATTTGTTTTAGGGATTCCACATCTATAGATTGATTACACTGGATCAGATTGTATTTCCATTTGAGTCCCCTCCCTGGTAGGGCCAAGTGTTGGTTATTCCCATAAATTCCAACTTTCTGGTTATGTAGCAAATATGTAGATGGGGGAAATGGAGTTAACTACTAGTAGTTTTTAGTGGCAGTGTTGCAGCACTTGGGGCAACTGTCCTACAAACTGAAGGATGTGTATAGCAGCCCTAATGGCTGCCCATGGGCAGGGTCCTGGGACATGAAAAGTGGGAAAACACAAGGCAAGTTGCATTACAACAACCAAGAATGTCTTTGCTGATTTCCAGATGCCTTACTGGTGAAGCACTGCATCCTAGTGGGAACAACTGAGTTTGCACATCATTTTTGAGTGTCTTCACCAATTACAGATTTGCAGAATGCTCTTTAAAAATGGGCAGGCATCCATTACCAAAGGAAGTATTAGATACTCCTAGTACAATATTGTCCTAGAAAGTCCTGGAATTGAAAGGAACTTTTAACAGTGTTTTCAGTTATATTTTATCATGAAATGCTTTTGTCCAGCCCGTAGAATTTCCTATAATAATTGGTTAAGGAAATAGCAGGGATAGATGACCAGAACAGAGAAAAGCGACAAAGATGCTGATGGTATTCGCAGTCCTTAATAGAGGGACAGTCCAAACGCATGAGGCCACCTCATGGAGCTTTCCTCATCCTTAGACTGGATGGATGGTTCTGTCAACTTACCATGCAAGATCATGACTCCTAAGGAATGTGTCATCTCCTGAAGATCTATATAATTTTGACCTCATTTGTAGCATTGTACATTCATCTACTGTTGCCACCTTTATTTTTAAAGTAAATATACTCTCAATTAAATCGTAGATACTTGGATTCTGTGCCTCCCACTGCCATAAGTCATTTCAAGCAGTCAGCTGAGAAACTTATTGAGGAGAAGGGAGCTGTGGAAGCTCTGGCAGCGGCCCTGGCCCACATTTCAGGAGCCACAGCGGTTGACCAGCGCTCCTTGATTAGCTTGGATGTGGTAAGGTTCTGTGTCAGATTTCTGACAATTCACAGTTTGGAGTTAGACCAGTAGTTTGAAAAAACTTCCAGTTATTTTAACTTTATCATGAAAGTGGTAGTGGTGGTGGTTGTTAGGTGCCGTCAAGTCAAGTACAGCTTACAGTGAGCCTATTGCCATTGCTGTAGTCATTGTGTCAGTCTGTCTTGCTGAAAGTCTTTTTCTTTTTTCCTGACCCTCCACCTTTCTGAACATGATCTTTCCAGAGAATAGCCTCTCCTAACAACATGGGCAAAACGTGTGAGATGAATTTTCACCATCCTTGCCTTTGTAACAAGATTACAGATGCGCACAAAATTCCACAGAATCTGGGTGGCAGGAGGAATTAGAAATGACTGACAATGAGTATAGAGATGTTTTGGGAGGTAGTGAAAATATTCTGGAATTTAATAGTGGTGGTGATGTACAACTTTGGGAATATCCACGCAACTGAAATGTACACTTTAAAATGGTCAATTTAATCATATGAGTTATACCAATTTTTTTAAATTCTCAAATTTATAAAGGCCTATATGACTAGACGCTTTAGCTTTTTATTAATTGACATTTGAATTGAGTCTTTTTTGTACATTCACAAGTGGTTAAATAGCTCAGAGTTCCTAATGTACTCTCAGTTGCTTTTTTTCTTTAAATTTTAACTGATTTGTATGAACACTTAGAGGACCTATCAGTTTATCCATTTCAGCAATGCACGTTTTAATTTGTTACATTGAATGCAGTGCTCCAAAATTAACAGCACACTTTCTACTTCCTCCTGGTATGTTTATCATTCCATTTATCCGTTCTGTTCTTTTCAGCCTTCTGATCTTCATGCCTGGGCAGATGCTACCTTTTTTTTATTTTATTTTATTTATGTATTTATTTATTTTATTTTATTTCAACGAACATCTGCAGAGATTTTGGAATTCCATTCATTCATTGTTGCACTTTTCTCGCTGCCCTCCCCACCCCCACCCCCCCCCCCCCCCCCCCCCCCAGATGCTACCTTTTGGTCTCTTGGTTTCTGCTGCTGGCAACATTTTATAGAGCTGTACATAGAATATCATATCCACAGTGTTGACTTTGATACAGTCTATGAGTTTTATTTGGAGTGCCCCTCTATTTTATTTGTATCCTTTTGTGATTGTGGATGTGGGTGAGAGAGATAAAAATATGTGCATGCTTTTAGGAAGAACTTTATTAGAAATTACTTTAAAACATGTGAATCTTGAACATTGTTTTTTTCTTTTCATAAGGGCTTTGTGACCATGGTCTTAAAGTGCTCAATTGAAATGTCAAACATCAGCTATGCTTGGAAAGAGCTTAAAGAGCAGCTGGGCGAAGAGATTGATTCCAAAGTGAAGGGGATGGTCTTCCTCAAAGGAAAGATGGTGAGGCCTGGGCCTGTCATGCCTTCATTGTGTTTGGGAAGCTTTTGTGATCAGGAAAACACAATCCTGGGAGGATGCTAAGTATGACTAATATGTATGAAAACTAGGCAAGCTTTTGTGTTTATTTCCTGGGGTAGTTATGTGGTTTTTGGGTTTTGTTTGTTTGTTTTATTTAATACTGGTTTACTTACAATAGGCAAGGTTTGTTGTTTTGGGGTTTTTTAATTATTATTTTTAATAAGAATTTACAGACTTTGGATTGATATTCATTGTTGCACTTCTCCCTGCCCACCCCCACACTCTTCTCTTTGAAAAGTAAAAGAAAAATTCTTTCATTGTTTTACAATCCCTCCCCCCAGGTCCATTCCACTATTCAGCCTTCATTCTGGACTTCTATCATGACAATAATACCTAATCATATCCCTTTTAAACAGTTTTCTCCCTCATCTGTTTCAATGCAGCATACATTATTTATCCCATCTTTCTCAGTCTCCCCCCAACCCTTATGTCAGTCCTGTTTTACAACAGTGGCACCATGTAGTATTTGTCCTTTAGTGACTGAGATATTTCACTCAGCATAATGTCCTCCAGGGTCACCCATTTTGAATAATATTTCATGAGTTCCTTGTATTTCAATGCAGTGTAGTATTCCATCATGTGAATACACCACAGCTTCTCTATCCATTAATTTGTTGATGGGCACTTGGGTTGTTTCCAACTCTTGCTATTGTGAACAAAGCCACATAAACATGGGTGTGCTTATATCTGCTTGGGTGGCAGTTCTGCTCTCTTTGGGGTATATTCCCAGTAGTGGAATATAGGCAAGGTTTTTATCTAACATAAGTAAAATGTTTTAGTAGATTGTATATGCCTAGTATTATACTCAGTATATTTAGTAAATATGTCAGTGATCTAAGGTTCCCATGGGTGGCAAAATTCATCAGTCTCTGATACTTATGGTTGTAACTGGGCAACTTATTGGCAGAGGAGCATGTTCACCACAAAATGTTACCATTAAAAACCATCAGGAGAGCAGAGTGCCTTTCTCAGTGATGGGTGTAGTTAGCGTTTGTATGAACTGTCAAACAGAAAGACTCTGAGGTGGTAGTCCTTTTTATTATCAGACCTAATGTCCTCTTACCTTTTTTCCTCCAGACTTTGACAGGAGTCTGCTTTCCAAAACAGAAAGTAAAAGGGTGTGGGGTTTTGTTTGTGAATTGGGTTTGGTTTCTTTTTATCTAAGTCCTCAGTGAATGTCACCTCAATGACTGATACTGTTTTTGGTGGAAGCAATGTGCTGTAATAGTTTTAGACCATGGATTTTAGAAATCAGATATTAAATACCTTCCCCACTATGGTGGCCTTATGGGTAAGGAGTCGTGCTACCAACTGAAAGATATACAGTTCGAATCCACCAGTTGTGCTGCAGGAGAAAACTGAGCAGTCACCTCCTGTACGATTAACACCTGAAAACCCCCTGGAGGGTTAGCTCTGAGTGGTTTCAGACTCCACTGCATTGCTTGAGTCTCCTTTAACAGTTCTATGGGGTCACAAGTGAGTCATGTCCTTTCTCCAAGGGGTAAAATAACTACTTGGGGATTATGGGCTCACTGCCTTTGAGCCAGTTTTCTATTTACAAAGAGTCTTTGCTAAGTTTCTAAGATTTAAATGAAGTCTTGAAGGGAAGACTGCCCTCCTTCTCCTGAAGAGAAGCTGGTAGATCTGGACTGCTGGAGACTAGGCTTCTTGTTAGCAGCAGAACTGTCCATATGTTCCCAGAGCTCCACAGTTCATGATCTCTAGTCCATTGAGAGGATGTAAAGTATTCTGAGGTTGGTTTTGTTTCTTTTTTAAGACATCCTTGACTTTGTCCTGTTGTGCTTTTAGAAGCAGAGCTGTGTGACATAGTGACTTTCTTCTAAATAACGATCATCTTAAATTACCACCTGGGGTTGTTTTTTTTAACATAAGACACTTGTTCTTTTCTAGTATCACTTATACATTTAATAATTTCTATCAGAGGTTGGATTAACTTGTATTTGCTTTTTTTATCCAGGGTGTATGCTTTGATGTTCCTACTGCAGCAGTAACAGAAATACAGGTATTTCCCCCCCTGAATTTTGAACTTAATACATAAAATTGTAAAATTTTTTGTTAAAAATACAGAATAGGCTAGAAAGCAGTATCTCCAACCCCACTGAAAAGCAGTTTTGATATCTTTTTCTTCACGTTCTTGTATTCTGATAGACCTGTTTTCCTTTTGAGCCTCTACTTTTTGCAGAAGTGTTAAATAACACCTCCACTCCCTACAAGCCCACAATATGATATAAGGGTTCTTTACAGATAATTGCTTCATCCTGTTCTGCAGTGCTAGGAGAGCTGTTTGTGAATGATGGACAACTGAAGATACCCTGTAGCAGTTAAACTGAATATACAGTATTATAGAGTTGAGGGCTTCTTATAGTGAAATTTGGCTGGTGAAATTCAGTATTGCTTCTGACCAGCAGGCTTTAAGCACTTGGCTTATATCACGCTAGATTTTCTTTGGAGAAAAGGCAATATATATTTTCTTTCTCATATCTTTTTAGAAATCACACCAGAATGAAAATAAAACCTTCTCTCAACAGGAAAAATGGCATGACTCTCGGCGCTGGCAGCTTTCTGTGGCCACCGAGCAGCCTGAGCTGGAGGGACCTCGGGAAGGATTTCGAGGCTCTAGGGGACCAAGGGAAGGCGGTCGAGGCTACCGGGGGCAGCGGGATGGCAGCAGAGGCTTCAGAGGACGGCGGGACGGGAGCAGAGGAGGCAGCTTCAGGGGACAGCGATCTGGAAGCAGCAACAGAAACAACCGATCCCAAAACAGAGGCCAGAAGCGGAGTTTTGGTAAAGCCTTTGGTTAGTAAGGACAGGATGGGCAGCGTGGAACTGAACTGTTTTTATACAGTTGAAAGCACTTTGTGCTTCTCTTCTGCCGCTTGCCTCAGTCCTCATTTCTCCAGAGAGACCATACTTTATCCACATGGTTTCATCAAATCATTATAATTTGTAACTTTGTTACTATTTTTGTATCAGGATATATCCTTTCAAAAAGGTGTATGGATTCTCTATATTGTAATAAATTATCTGTATTACAGGATAAAGATAAGCATGCTTCTGCCTATGCTTTGTTGACCTGTCTTTATTTTGCAGGTGTCTCTTGATAGTGTCTTTCTCTAAGGTAAAACCTGAGGGAGTGCATCAGGCTCAGAAGATCCACTGTAAGCAATCAAAGCTTTGTTCTGTAATTGGCATTCCTAGGCTACATGCCAAACAGTTACTCCTATGGTCCTATACTGTGTCTTCTGAGAATACTGAGCAATGTTTTGAACACGATTGCAAATTTAGCTGAGTTTTTAATACCAGAATATGCTTTAGAATTAATAGATGGCAGTAACATGTTAAAAGGGAGATGATAAACAGATTAATCAGAGTTTTATTTGCATTTGTTCGATTTGTAAGATTTTTAATGTAGGGAATTCATGCTACTTCAGTGAATTTTTACTTCACAGTTAGTACATACACAAAAAGATATGTATTCTTTTTTTAAAAAAAATACAAAGCAAATGTCTTTAAACTCCAAATGTTTTAAGATGGCTCCATAACTTTCCTTATAAATAGGAGACTGGAATGATAATGTACTCCATCCTTTGGAAGAGTAACATTATTTTCCAAGAAGGAATTAACAGATGAAGGGGCATAAATTTTCATTTCCCCTTTGGTTAAGTGTGTCCAAAAGTCCTTTGAAGATCTTTTTCATACAGGAAATAAACTGATCTGTAACTGTTTAGATTTTTTAAAATGAAGTGAAAATGCATGATAAGACATTCTTCTAATGGTAAATATTTTGTAGTGCATTGTTGTTAGGGTTAACTGTAGTAAGCAAGCTGGGGTATTTGTTCATGAAAAGGGAGGTTTCTGTACCCAGTTAGAGACTCTGTTTCTTAAACTGCTTCTCCATTGTAGGGTTTTAAGGCTTCCTTGAAAGACAAACCATATGCTTATTTTCAGGTTTATGTGAGAGTTCCTGACAAGGTTAACTTACTTCCCACTGACCTAAAGAGTGACCTGTTCTTTCTTTTTAATGTTACTAGACATTCTGTGCTGGGAATCTCAGGGAACAAACCATAATGGAAGAATTAAGACTATATGGTCTCTCTCTTAAATGTAACTATTTTTAAGAAAGACAGAATCTTTCCAGGTTCATTTCTGTCACTTTATCCAATCTGTATCTAAACTCCCTTTTCCTTGATCACTTTGGAGTAAGGGACCCTGATGACCACCTTGATTCTTTTGGTCCTTTGAGGAACATCTTTTTCCATCCATCCTTAAATCCTAACTTCAGAAATTCTACCAGAATTCTACCAGAATTCTACCAGAAATTCTGCCCTTACCTGTAGTGGTCATCCATCCGTCAAAACACAAGGGCTTAGATCACTTGTTTGATCACTTGACACATGTGCCTTGTGGATTCTAATAGATCTTTCTTAGCCAAATACTGGGCATTCTTTAATAACCAAAACATTTCATGCTGTAGATCAGGATGGGTGCCTTCTTAAGCAGTTTTAAATGACATGGTTCCTGTCATGTGGAAGTGGACAGCTAAAACCTCAGTGTAAATTTATTTAAAGGAGGAACATCAAAACTAAGAAGGGAGAATTTTAGGGTTTTCACTGTACAATTTTAAGGAAATTGTAGCTATTGGAGTAAGTAAAGCTAAGGTTTTTCCTGGGTTTCAGAACTCAAATTTATAATGTGTGTGATTTAACTTTTCTTTGGCTTAAGTGAGCTAGTCTGAGAATTGTTACCATTTTTAATGTTTTCTACAGAGCACATATTTTCTAATTTATCTATAAAAAACAATCCAATGAACTTTTAAAATACAATTCATTTTTAAGTTGGAACTCTCTCTTGTATATAAAATGCAATGTTTTTACTGTAAAGTTAAGATAAAATACAGGTTTATGCCATAATAAAGACATTAATACTTATTATTTACATGTTTTGTGTTTTGTTTCCTAAAATGAAAATAGCTTGAGGTTTTTATGATTAAAAATAATGAATGTTAGATAGAATAATTGAGATATAGGACTAAAAAGCTAACCAAAAATCAAGTCCACTGTGCTAATAAATTTTTTCTGACTCATAACACTCTGTGGGACATCCTTAGGGTTTGGGGTTTTTTAAAAATGAGATTTTAATGAAAGTTTATAGAGAACTTGAATTTCCATTCATTCATTGTTGCACATTTTCCTATTTCCCCTCCACATTCCACCCCCCCACTCCACCCCCAGTTAGCTTTTTTCTTTGGAAAAAAATAAATTCTCCCATTGTTATACAATCCATACCCCCAGTACACTTTACTGTGCAGCTCTTATTCAGGATTCTTGTCATGCAAATAATACCTAATCATGTATTCCTTTTAAACAGTTCTCTCCCTCATCTGTTCAAATGCAGTGTATATCATTTATCCTCTTTTTTTAATATGAATATTTTAATGAAATATTATAGAGTACTCGGATTTCCACTCATCATTGTTGCACACTCCCTGCCCACTCCTCCCCCGCAGTTTGCTTTTCTTTTTGAAGAGGAAAAAAAAATTCTTTCATTGTTGTACAGTCTTCTCCCCCTCCCTCCCTCCCTCCTCCCTCCCCCACATCCCCCAATCCACTTTACTGAGCAGCTCTTAAGCTGGACTCTTGTCATGCAAATAATACCAAATCATATATCCAGTTTTAAACAGTTCTCTCCCTCATCTGTTTCAATGCAGTGTACATCCCTTCTTTTCTTAGTTCCCCCACACACCAGAACCCTAACGACTAAGAATGAAAACTACTGGACATAGTTGAGCAATTCAGCAAAGTGGCAGGATACAAAATCAGCATACAAAAGTCAATTGGATTTCTTTACAATGATAGAGAATACAGAACTGGAGCTAAGAAAAACAATACCCATCACAATATCTAAACACAAGATTAAATACCTGGATGTAAATCTAACTAGATTATTATGATTACTGTGATACTGATGTGTCAAATGTGAGAATGGTTGCCCATGGTGGACAGTGTTTGGCGGAGCTCCCTGATTAAAATCAGCTTAGAAGCAGGAGTGGCATCCACTTGCGTAAATAGCTTGCCTCTGGAAAACCCTGTGAACCTGGAAAAAGGAAGAAAGTTATACCGGTGTCCAAGTCTTTCATTCATGTTGTCATTGCAAGTCCCCTCTGACTCGACGGCACTTAACAAGAACAACAACGACAGCATAGAGATCATTTGGCCTAGTGGACAGAAAGTGATGCTCCCAAGCCAAAGATGGGTGACTCTAATCCGCAGCCCTCAGGCCTGCCTTTTACTTGCTTTTGGTGAAACTTCTAGGTCGTATAACCCTGGTATGTCCACTTGCTGTAGAGAGGTAACTCATGGTTACTGTGAAGCTGAACACTGTGATACTGATGTGTCAAATGCAAGAATGGTTACCTGTGGTGGACAGTTTTTGGTGGAGCTCCTCAATGAAAACAAGCTTGGAAGCAGGAGTGCTTCTAAGTGCTTCCGGAAATAGCTTGCCTCTGGAAACCGAATGAACCTGGAGAACGGACGAAAGTTATACTGGTGTTCAGGTCTTTTGTTCATGGGGTCGCTATGAGTTGCCTACAACTCGACGGCACTTAACAACAACAAAAAAATCAAGCTAGAAACACAAAGGATCTATTGAAAGAAAATTGCAAAACATTATTACAAGAAACAAAAAGATCTGGAGAAATGGAAGAATATACATATATCTTGCTCTTGGATAGGAAGACTCAATATTGTGAAAATGACAATACTATCAAAGACAATCTACACATTCAGTGCAATACAAATACAAATACCAATTCCATTCTTCAACAAGATGGAAAAGGTGATCTCCAATTTTATTTGAAATGGAAAGAAGCCCTGAATAAGCAAAACACTCCTGAAAAAGAGAAACAAGGTAGGAGGCATCTCACTCCCTAATTTCAAATCCTTACTTAACTGCCGTGGTGGTCAAGACAGCGTGGTACTGGTAAAGTGACAGACACATCAATGGAGTAGAATTGAGAACCCACAGAAGAAATCAGTGAAGTGAAGAAATGACAGCCTTTTAAACAAATGTTGGCAAAATTGGAAAATCATGTGCAGAAAACTCAAGCAAGACCCACACCTCACTCCATACACAAAACCCAACTCAAAGTGGATCAAGGACCTAGAACTAAAACCAAAGACTATAAACTTAATTAAAGAAAAGCTTGGTAGAATACAAGAAGCCCTAATCCACAACATAAACAGTCTTCCAAGCATCCTGAAAAATCTACCACCAGGAGAGGATAAAATAGATCAATGGGACCTTTTTTTTTTTAAAAAAATTAATTTTAATGAACATTTACAGAGATTTTGGATTTCCAGTCATTCATTGTTGCATCTTTCTCCCCGCCCACCCCCAGTTCGCTCTTCTTGAAAAGTAAAATTCCTTCATTGGTATACAATCCTCCCACATGCCCCAACCCAAGTATGCTCCACTCTGCAACCTTCATTCCGGACTCTTATGATAATCATAATGCCCTAAAATATATTGCTTTTAAACTGTTCTTTCCCTTATCGGTTTCAATGCAGTATTCATAATCCAGTTTTTCTCATTCTTATTCTAACCCTGATGTCAGTCTTATTCTAACCCTTTAGTCAGGTCAGCCCAACTCAAGATGACACACTTAACTCCCACCACCCCAGTCACTGAATTGATCCATCTCATCAAGGGTCTTCCTCTCCTGCACTATTCCTCCACTCTCCCAAACATGATGTCCCTCTCCAAGGACCAGTCCCTCCTTTAAACAGGCCCAAAGTATGTCAGA